GTTTGCTTTATAAATAAAACACTGCAGGACTATATTAAGGACAAGGTGGGGTACTTTGAACAACAGCAGACTGCTTCCTCTACAATGTAAAACGGCGGTAGAGGGACGTGGAGGAAGGAGAAAGCCCTGCCTTTCTGGGGCCCCGATTCCCACCTACTCAACCGCACCAGAGGAGAGATGCTCTCTGCCCCAGCAACACCTCGGTATGAACAACAAGCACAACGGCCAAGGGCTTCTCTGAACTCCAAGAGGGCTGGGGGTTGCATGTAGGGAAACAAAATAATCTTGAGGATTAACGCATCCCCGATACTACCACAGAGCGTTATTCGGATGCTCAGTTCTCACATTGCAAAGTCTACAGTTGTACGTGGAAGGAATTAGCTTTACTGTCTCTTAACAGCCAGCCAAGATGATGAACTTGAAGCAGTTCTCAATTTCCTCTAGTTTTTTTTCTAGAAAGCTCAGTCATAAGAAGAATCAGTTTCCATCTTGTTTTTGCTGCAGTCAATGAGCAGGCATCAGGGTGCTTCTTTCCATACAAAGAAGGCTTTCTCCTCAGAGGGATTTACAAACTGCAGCCTACATAGTGTAACTTTACCCAGGGGTGTAATAACACCCCTTTCATAGCACAAGAATAGGTATTAATACTACTATAATTTATTTATGAAGGTAGATTAGAAGCTAAATGAATTGCTTTTAAAGCCCTTATGCACCTGTCCACACGACCGTGCCATTGCCAGCAGATCTTTTGTCTATGCAACGCTCCCCTTGTGCAGAGAGTCAGTGGGAGGCCAGTTTGCCACTCACCCTTGGAGCACAAGGTGGATCTCAGCACAAGGAGAAGCTAATTTTCCCCCAACACAGTAACCCTTACTAGTCCTTTACCTCATTTCAAGACCAACACAGACAAAAGTTGTTATTTTCACGTTGCATGTCCACTCTCTGCCACTAGCACTCTTCAGTAATTGTTGAACCATACAGGGGAAGGAGGACTAGAACTAACCATTACCTTGCAGATATTTGTCAAACGGGATAATGGGATCAAACAGGAAGAGTTCATTCATACTAAAACATGAAAAGTATCTTGGGGATATAAAAGCAACTCAAATAGCAATCTGGTGAATGGCCAATACACCCTTTGGGGAGCAGAAGAGACAACACAAACAAGGCTTCCAATCTGCAACTAAAGAACATTTACCCAATTCAATTTTCTTAAGTAGCTACAGCAGAAAAATTAGCAGTTTATCAGAACCAATATTTTTTTGCATGCAACAGTGTCATCAGAAGGTTCTCCCCAATGCTAACACATAATGAAGCAGGTCAGTCGAGAAGCTAAACTCACCCTATCAGTCCAACCTGGGATTCACAACTGGTTTGAAGAAAGACAACAACTTCTCAACACCAATTATTGAAGGCAACTTGGTGTGTACCATTACACCTGCTCTGTTCCATTACAAGGAAGTTGTTGCTCTAGTTAATCCTTTCCACTGTAAATTCAAACTGGAAACCAGCTTTCTACCTCTTCTATAACTTGCATTGATCGAGAGAAGTTTGAAGTCTACGGCTTTAGCCTGCTGGGTTGTCAGCAGTTACAGTGAGAAGCTGTAGTGCTGTTGCCGTACTCCCAGAAGCAGAGAAGTATCAGCTCACACAGCTGCATGTCCCCAACTACCAAACCATGGTTACTCCATACAGCCATTTTATGGTATGAACCCGGTGAAGGGTCTAGACAACAAGTCTCATAAAGAGTGGCTTAGGGCACTGGGGTTGTTTAGACTGGCGAAAAGGAGGCTGAGGGGCGACCCTATCACTCTCTACAGCTACCTCAAAGGTAGTGACAGGACAAGAGGAAATAGCCTCAAGTTGCACAAGGGGAGGTTTAGGTTGAATACTGGGAAAAATTTCTTCACCGAAAGGGTTATCAAGCACTGGAACAGGCTGCCCAGGGAAGTGGTTGAGTCCCCATCCCTGGACGTATTTAAAAGATATATAGACTTGGCACTTAGGGACATGGTTTAGTGGTGGACTTGGCAGTGTTAGGTTTATGGTTGGACTTGATGATCGTAAGAGGCTTTCCCAACCTAAATGATTCTGTGGATTCTACGAATCCCTTTACCTGAGCTAGTTTGGCTTGATTCATGTGAACAGATAAGCACCCCCAACTCAAGCTGGACTACTGAAATGAGGACAAATCATGAATCACAATAGCAGTTTAGCTTCCCATATGCAGTACGACAGCAGACATTGCACGTGTAGAAGTGCCAGTATTATGTTCTTATATTAGAAAGGAGGTAGGAAGAAAAGGGGCAGAAGAAAATTCCACCACTACTTGAAATATAAAAAAACTTTCCCAAAGAGCATAGTGTCAAAGATTAAATACTCTACCCTGATTTTATGGAATCATTTATCTCTACCTTTGACATCAAATGGAAACTGACTGAACTTGCAAGATGTAAAAGCAGCTGCCGCTTTCATTCCGTTCTTACGTTAAACCATGCCCGCTCTATGTCACTCTGGTTGACTTCGTGACACAGGCTGTACCAGACACTCAAAGCAGCCTGATGCTTGTCACCATTGCAAAGCACATGCCTCTTTACATTCTCCAAGGCTAAGCTTCATTATCTCAAGCTGTAGGCCTCTTCCATGACTTTCATCAGAACCATACAGACCCAACTGAAGTTATTTATTAGTCAGCACACCAATGGCTCCCAAAAGGCATTATCTTGCACATACACTACTACAAAAACATATCCATTTTGCTTAATTGGTCTACTGCATTCTTTAGTTCTTCTTTAGTTCTTCAAAATACTTTTTAACATTAACTATAATTTTCCCCTTTTCAAATATCACTCAGATAAGGATGACTCATATCAAATGCTAGCTTGCTCCGTTGTAAAGCTAAAATAACTATCTTTAACCTAGAGATAGTTTGTTCTGAGCATGACGGGGAAAAATCTCACAACACAACCTTTTCCAGTGGTATCAACACTGAAGACTCTATCAGCAACCCTGAGTACAAAGCCATCTGCCCAACCAAGGACAAGCATGCATTAGTACTCGCTTTACACAGGGACCAGCTTCCAGTATAGATGAGACTACATTGAGAGCAGCTAAACAATTCAGTCTGAGAACTCTAGAGCAGCTGATGTCTCTGCACTAAGTAGCCAAAGGGAAGAACCGGGCAGAAGGCATTGATGAAAAATAATAATAATAATATACCTATACATATCTGTATACAGATGTACACTTTCTTCTGCATTCCATGGCTTCAAACATATCCTATGCTACCAGGCAAAAGATAAAACACTGGCCATATTCATGTCATACATACAAGCGAGTAGTACTCTCGAACTCACTGCTTCAGGGACATACACACGGACAGCAAAAATGAAATTTTTCA